CCTGGAGCGCGGAGGAGCTGCGGAGCGAGGCGCTGGCCAAGAAGGAGATCATCAAATTCCTGCAGGAGCACGCGGCGCAGGCGGTGAGTTCGGGGGGAAATCCGAATAGTTTGGAGCGCGCGTGCGGTGCGCTTTTGGAGCGGGTGTTTCACGGCTGGCGCTCGTGTGTCCGGCAGTTCCTGGCGGAGCACAAGCTGCTGGGGCAGGTGAAGAACGTGGCGAAGACGGCGAATAAGGAGCAGCTCATCGCGGCTTACACGCAGCTTTTCCACACGCAGGTGAGGGGACGAGGAGGGGGGAACGGAGCTGGGAGGGGGGTGGTGGTCCTGTGGGGGTTGATGGCTGATGGATGTGGCTCTTCATCCTCCCCCCTCAGCGGTTCAAGGGCACGGACGGCGCGGAGAAGGCGGCGGAGAAGGCGAAGCCGGCCAAGGCGGAGGAGGCCAAGGGGAAGGCGGCGAAGGCTGAGGAGGCTGTGGAGGAGGTTTGTGCGACACTCCCGCCTCGCGTTTGTCGTGTGGGAAATCAAATTAACCAGGTCCCCTGTCTCAGGATGAGGGTTAGGTTGGGTATCACGGAAAGGTTCTTCCCCCAGAGGGTGGTGGGGCACTGAACAGGCTCCCCAGGGCAGTGGGCACGGCCCTAAGGCGGCCAGAGCTCAAGGAGCATTTGGATGATCCTCTCAGGCACATGGTGTGACTCTTGGGGTGTCCAGGGATTGGACTGGATGATCCTTGTGGATCCCTTCCAACCCAGGATTCTCCAAAGACCTGGTTCCAGCAAGAACTCTGGTGTTTGCACCCTGCCTTAACCTTAAATCTGCTGCATTTTCCCCATATATTCCAGCCCTGCAGTTACCCACGAACACGCCCTTCACTAACAGTGCATGTCTTCTTCAATGCCTTAAACTAAGTGCTTGTTCCATCTCATAGTTGATCTGAAGCTACTTAACCCACCAGTCACAAGGCTTATTTTTACAACCTCAGGGGCCACCAAAGTATACAAAATCCATTTTAAAGAAGGGCGATAAAACCAACTTCCCGAAGAAAGGAGACACTGTGCACTGCTGGTACACGGGAAAGCTGCAGGATGGGACAGTCTTCGATACCAATATTCAATCAAGTAAGGTCATGCACAGATGGGTGCACAGAGAAACTGTTTGGGGTTTGCTGCAGGCTCTTGTAGAGTGCATTAACTGGGCTCCTTGAGCAGATCTGGGCAGGTGTTTGCCTCTGGAAGTGTCCCTGTGGGATTCCTGACAAACTGCTTTGTTGTTGAGCTGCTGGGATGTCCCTGAGCCCCCTCCCGGATCCTGATTTTCCATGAGGTAAGGCAGGGCAGTATTTTAGGAGTGGCTGGTGTCAAGTGACACTGCTGCATCCTGCCAGCCCTCCCTTCTGGCATTCTCCAGGCCTGGGAATGTGAAAAGCAGGGACTTAATCAGGGCTGAAAATACTTGAGGGGAGAGCTGGAGCTTCCCTCTCCTATGGAACTCGAGCACCAGCAGTGTCCTGAGTTTCTCTAAATAAACATCTCAGTGTCCTTCTCTAGTAAATCCTTAAACATGGAGGCACTGGAATGAGAGGGAGTTGAGTACTCTGGTGTTTTTGTGACAGATCAGAGGGGTTAGGAGTATGAAATCCTGCAGTACTAGAAAGGCTTTTCCAGAGTGTGTCCCACGCTCAGAGGAACAGTATTCCAGAGTCACTGGAATGCTGTCTGGGACTTCTTGTACTTGTTTTATGTTCCCTTTTGACTTCTGGTTCCTTAATGTGTTTGTGACTTGTACTGTCACCTTTATTAATTCAGAAATGAGTCTTTGGGGTTTGAAAGATGCTCATCAGCTTTAGCTCTTGGTGCAGCTTGAACAGTGAACGATGGCTTTGGTGCACAGCACTGAATATTAAAATAATATTATAATGTTATAATAACATAAACACTAAAAAATAATATAATAAAATGATATATTTATTTCTCATATGTATTTGTAATTGTAGACAGCAGTGTGGTGTGTGCTGGAGTGATGTTAAAGCAAAGCAACACAAAACTCTCTTCCAGGCTCAAAGAAGAAAAAAGCAGCCAAGCCCTTGAGTTTCAAGGTTGGCGTAGGAAAAGTGATCCGAGGTGTAAGTACAGCATTGACAGCTCCCTCAGAATTCCAAAGGAGTTTCCTTCCCTGTCATTTATGACAAGGGTGCAGTTTTTGAGCTGCTGTTCTGTTCCTCGTGGAGGTAAAAATGCAACTTGCAAGGGTGTACACGGGCAGGATGTCCCATTATCCAGTGTCATTCCCCTGGGGAGCAGCGTGTGGAAAACACTCTGTGTTCCTTGGGACAAGCCCAGCCTCCTGCTCCTGTCAGTCTGCTCTGAGGCTGCCTGGATTCCTCTCCTCCTGTCCCTTGTTCCCTGGGAGCAGAGCCCGACCCCCCCGGCTTCCCCCTCCTGTCAGGGGGTTGCAGAGCCAGAAGGTCCCCCCTGAGCCTCCTTTGCTCCAGGCTGAGCAGGAAAAAGGCCTTTCTGAGGGCCGGGCCTGGCCCTGGGAAGGGGCAGATCCCTGGGCAGTGTCCCTGGGCAGTGCCCAGCGCTGCAGGAGCTGCAGCTGTCCAGGTTTATCCGTGTGTCCCTGAGCCTCTCCCTGAGCTGGGATCTGGCGCTGCAGGAGCCGCTCGTGGGGACACTGGGGAGGGACAGGCACTACTGCCTCCGGGTCTGGAACAGCCTGGAACAAGCACGGATCCACTGATCCAGGGAGGCTGGGCTGCCCCAGCCCTGGCTCTGTGCGAGGCCAGGCTGGACCGGCCTTGGAGCAGCCTGGGCTCGTGGAGGTGTGGGATTGGTGGGAATCCCCAGGAGCACATGGAAAGGCTGGGAAGTGCAGCTGTTGTGACACCCTGTGTGCTGTCCTTGCAGTGGGATGAAGCCCTGCTGACCATGAGCAAAGGAGAGAAGGCCCAGCTGGAAATCGAGCCCGAGTGGGCCTATGGGAAGAAGGGGCAGCCCGATGCCAAGTATCCTTGTACAGACACCTGGGAATGCTGGGTGGGGCAAAGTGCTGGGGCAGGGGTGTAATGGGGGGGTTCACTCTACAGCAGGCTCAGAATATTCCCACTCTGAGGAAATTCAGTGCACTTGGAGGGTGGGTGGGATTGTCCTTTTGTTTGGAACTAAACCTTGTGGAGGGAGAACTTGCTGCTGTTTTCCACCTGCATTTTTTAGTCCAGCTGAGCTTCCAAATAAGCTTCCAAATGCTTATTACTGACAGGGATACAAACCAGTGGAGTAGGGAAGCAGGAGGAGTGACCTGTAGGGTAACAGCAGTTAAATTTGGTTCTGGTTCTGGGATACAACTGGAGTACGGGATGGAGGGGGGATCCTGCAGTGTTTTACACATTCATGTTCCTTTTCCCCAGTGCTTTGGGAGGAAGAGGTTGTTCCCTGGTGCTGGAATCCTGTAATCCCAAGGGCTGCCTGGACACTGTTCTCCCCTGTAGCACAGCAGGACAGACTCCCAAACCTGGAGCCCAGGCTTAGGGAATGAGGAGCAGGGTGTGCTAGTGGAGGTGCATCCATGGAACTGGCCCTGCGTGTCCCTGACAGCTGGTGCTGGGCAGCAGTGCAGGATCCAGCCCAGTGCTGGATCCAGGGTGTCCCAAGGTCAGTGGCACCACAGGGACACAGGAGAGCGGCTGTGAGGCCCTGCCCAGGGAGGGACGGGGGAGCTGGAGGATTTGGGGTGTTTTAGGCTTCCTTAACGTGCCCCCCAGGATTCCCCCGAACGCAAAGCTCTTCTTTGAAGTGGAGCTGGTGGACATCGAGTGAGGAGTGAATTCCCCTGCTGCTGGGAGCCCAGGGACTGGTGCTGGGGATCCAGTTCAGCCTGGCCCTGTGGAAAGGGAGCGCTGTCCCTGCCCCTCTGTACAGTGACACCACTAAACCAGTTTGTACCCTCGGTGCCGTCCCTTCTTTGTGTCTGAGCATCCCCACCCTCCCCTGGCAGGGCTGCAGGGCCACAGGGGTCCTGTGGAATTCCACAGCATTCCCACTCCTCTTCAGAGGTATCAATACCAGTGTCAGGCACTCTGCTCCCAGAGATCCAGGCGTTCCCAGGGCATCCCTGTGCCACAGCCCTTCCTGGGAACACCACGTGTCCCTACTCCCGGCTCCACCACCGAGGCAATCCAAGAAGGCTCAGAGCACGGCTGAATTCCTTGCTTTTATTACAAAAATGGGAATGATCACTTTGATCAAAATGAAAAAAGTTTTGCTCACACCGTGTACATGAAAAACTCCAAATACAAAAACCATCCCAAACACAGTTTGTGCTTTTTAGAAAAGAACCAAGGGGGTTTCACCCCACGGGTGCATTCCTGACCCCACAGCTCTGCCAAGGCCTCCAGCCCCGCTCCGGGGTCAATCCCAGCACAGTGCCCGGCTTGGGAAAGCTGTGGTGGCAGTTGGGGTGGGAGCAGGACGGCCTTGGCTCCAGCTCTGGGGCAAAACCAACCCAAAGGGCCCCAGCTTCACCCACCCAATCTATGGAATCGTGGGACCGACGGGAATTCCTCCGAAAGCTCCATAAATTAGTGCAGGGAATTAAAAAAACGCATTTATGGTAAATGAGAATTGTACAGAGACCATTTATCGGTTACCAGCACACAACTCTTCACACGTACCCCGTGAGCAGCAGCTCGGGTCACATGCAGAGGACCCGCAGCAGGTGGCACAACAGTTCTGTCACAGCCCAAAGTTAGAAAAATATATCTTTTTTTATTCCATCTCTGTCGATCTGCAGCACAGTGGACTCTGGCTCAGGTGGTGTGGTAATACTGTCCATAGTTCCAGGCGTTCTGGTAGTTGTACTGCAAACACAGCAGGAGGGGCTCAGCCAGTGTCCCTGAGCCAGCACAGACCACCCCACACAGCTGCCACTGCTCCCAGCTGGGCACAGCACCCCTGGCAAGGAGGGACAACTGCCCCGTTCCCCCAGGAGGGATTTGTCTGCTTCCTGGAGCAGGATGTGGAAGGCAGGCAGGGATCTGTGATCACAGGGATCATGGAATAGCCTGAGCTGGAAGGGACCCCCAAGGACCATCCAGTCCAACCCCTGGCCCTGCCCAGGACACCCCAACAATCCCCCCTGTGCCCCAGAGGATCATCCAAACCCTGCTGGAGCTCTGGCAGCCTTGGGGCCATGCCCACTGCCCTGGGTAGCCTGGGCAGTGCCAACCACCCTCGGGGGAAGAACCTTGTCCTGAGATCCAACCTGAGCCTGCCCTGGCACAGCTCCAAGTCTGCCATTCCTGCAGTTCTGTGTGTGAACATTTGGGGCATTTTTCCTGCCTAGTGCTGGACAGTTTCCCAGCTGGATGAGACTGGGAAGAGCACTGAACCTCAGTGGGATTTAGGCATCCAATCCATTCCCAAACCACAGCTACCCCAGGGGCTGGTGGTTTGTGCCTCAGCTCCATCCCTGCTCTGCCCAGCTCTGCCCAGTCTAAACACCAGTTTTCACTAAACCACTTCAACACAACTTCCATGGACCTAAAAGACACATGGATGTGGCACGTGGGGACGTGGGTTAGTGGTGGCCGTGGCAGTGCTGGGGGTGGTTGGCCCAACCTCAACCATTCTATTCCAAACTGCCATGCCATGGAGGAGCAGCGAGCTCCATGTGCCCCCTGGGCTGTCCCTGCCCTGCCCTGCCCTGGCAGCACACCCCGTTACCTGGTACCAGGCGTTGTAGTTGTAGGCCGCCTGGTTCACCTGCATGTCCCCGTCCATCAGCTGCGCCGACGCCAGGGCCGGGTCCTCCGCCAGCATCTTCTTCTCGTCCGGCTCCTCGGAGCTGGGGGGAAAAACAGCTTGGAATTGGCATCCTGGATGAACTCTGGGCAAGTCTCCGGGTGAGAAGTGTTAGATCTCGTTAAACAGCATTTCCCAGCTGGGCACCCTGTCCCAGCAGGGACACGGGATTGCTTAGGGAAGGGCAGTGGTGCCTCAGAACAGCCGGGGTTTAAACCGTTCTGGCCCCCCCACTGAGACAGCAATGCAGGTTTCTGCTCAGAGACCCAGTTATTTACCAGCCCTGTTTAGCTCTCCTGTGAAATACAACTCAAAAAGTTATTTTCCAGTAAATGTTTCCATCCCTGGAAGTGTCCAAGGCCAGGTTGGACAGGGCTTGGAGCAACCTGGGCTATGGAAGGTGTCCCTGCCCATGGCAGGGGGTGGCACTGGGTGGGCTTTAAGGTCCCTTCCAACCCAACCCACTCCATGATTCTGTGAATATTTAATCCAGCAGTACAGCTCTAATTAGTGCACACTTTAAATGATTTTAAAAAGTGCTTTTGTTCCTGCACCAGTGGGGTTAAAGCCTCAAAATACCTATGTATCCATTCAGAGACTAAATAACCCCCCAGTGAGGCTGCTCTCTGGACTCTTCCAGAGCGCTCCCACATTGCTGTGTCCCAGCTGCAGCCCGGGAGAGGGGTGTCACAGTGTGTGTGTGTGCCCCAGGGAGTGTCCCCAGGGGTGTCACAGTCTGTGTATTGTCCCCAGAGGTGTCACAGTGTGTGTGTGTGTGTGTGTGTCCCCAGGGGTGTCACAGTATGTGTGTGTTCGTGTGTGTGTGTGTGTGTGTGCTTCCCCAGGGCTGTCCCAGTGTGTTCCCAGGCGTGTCCCAGTGTGCTCCCAGGAGTGTGTCCTGTCCCCAGGGCTGTCCCAGAGTATTCCCAAAGGGTGTCCCAGTCTGTGTGTTGTCCCCAGGGCTGTCCCAGTGTGCTCCCAGGAGTGTCCTGTCCCCAGGGCTGTCCCAGTGTGTCCCCAGGGCTGTCCCAGTGTGCTCCCAGGAGTGTCCTGTCCCCAGGGCTGTCCCCCCTACCCGTTCTCTGCCCGTCTCTTCAGCGTCTCCTGCTCCTTCAGCAGTGCCTGGTGTTCATCATAAGCATCCAGGAGCCTGGGGGGACAGGGGGATCAAACCCTGCTCACCACTGTCATCACAGCATTTCCCACCCCTGAGCAATCAGCTTAAAATCTCTGCTTCAAACCGTAGAAGTACAACATTCTAAACCAAACCCCACCACAGATTTCAAGGAGTGATCCACCACGAGAGGGGAAAGCCAAAAGGCTCAGTTTGATTCCACAGCGGCTCAAATTCCCAACTTGCTCAACATTCCTCACACTCGATGCAGTTTTTATGAAGTTCCTTTATAAAGGAGTTTTCCAGAAGTTACTTGTGATTCTGCTGCTCCTTCAGTGCCTGCTCACAATCCACAGCAGGACTGAGATTTGGGAATCAACATTTCAACACCAGAAATTAGTATTATGCAAAACTATTCCAATCCCAAAGCAGCACCTGCAGCCTTTTGCCCATCCAGCATGGGAAGAACAAGTATGTTCAGTGCTGCACAGAACAGTCCTGGCTAAAATTCCCACCAATAGTCAGATACCCTTTCCTCTGCTGCACCCAGATTTCCCCCCAAAACCTGCTGCTTCTGTCAATACTGCTCTGGGTGAAAACAGTGTCTCGTGCTCATTCTGTGCTCTGGGTTATTTGGGAGCTGCAAAGCTCACTGGGTCTGGCCTGTCCCAGATCCCAAACCTGCAGTGAGGGGCTGCCATGCAGAGGCAGCAGGATTTAAGGACAGATGCTGTTAAAAACATACAGAGCAGAAAAACTGAACTCATGGTTAGTCCTGAAGAGTTACTGAGCTGCAAAATGTAAATAAAAACAGGAGCTTGTTTTACAGAGGAAAAAGTATATGTAGTGTTGATTTAAAAACATGCATTGCTGGTGTATCCTCCCACATAAGTGCAAATAGGGCTGAACATGGAAAAATCCCACCAGGGCAGTTTTGGAAACCTCAAGCAGCAGCTCCCAGGGAACAGTCTCAAATGACACTTGTGTCACAGACATGTCACCTCCTCTTTGGGGAGCACCTGCCTTCACAGGGCTTAGCAAGGGGAAACTACAGTAAGACCTGACAGGCAGTAAGACTTTGCTCTGTGAGGTGTTGAGCATTTCAGAAAAGAAGGGATAATTTTCTGAAAAGAGATTCCTGTTTAAAAATCTATTCCTATTCAAAAATCTATTCCTTTTTAAAACCTGGAATTTGGTTTAGAGAAGCCACTGTTCCTTAGCCAAGAGCACAAAGGAAACCATTTAAGAGATGCCACCAAGCCATCCCTGCCCAACTCCTCCCAGCATTGTCTCAGTGACCCCACTGCACACAGCACATCTTACTTGTTCACATCAGACCCAAAATCTTCCAGGAACTCCACTTTTCTCTGGGAGAAGGTGATCCTCATTTTGATAGACAAGGCTCCATGGACAGCCTTGTCAAAGCAGCTCAGGATGTTCTCCTCGTTCTGCTTCAGGTCCCCACTGTACTCCATCTCCAGCAGGTTCAGGTACAGTTTGGTGTTTTCCTGTGCAAAGGGCGTGTCAGAAGGTGCACCCCTGGCCCAGCAGGTATTCCACACTCAGTGTGTGTCACCAGTCACACACCACAACACCCACAGCACAAATACACACAATGACAGGCACCAAAGAGCTTTCCCTTCCCCCCTGGGCTGGTTTGTGTCACAGACAACCAGAGGTGATCTACAGCACAAACCCAGGGCTGGCACTTTGCTCACAGCACCTGCAGTGCCAGGTATTCCTGTGCTCACACAAACCCACCCCCCAGTACTGCCCACACCAGTCCTGTTCACCCTGAGAGGTGAACACACTGACAGCAGCTAAGATTCTAAGGAGGATGAAGGGATGAAGCACATTGTGCTTCTGATGAGAGAAAAGAGTGCACACTTCAGATTTGGGAACGTGGCAACATCAGTTTAGAGGGACTGTTGTCTCCATGCAGTAATGGGACATTACATACAGTTACAACTCCTGTCATCACCGTTGCCATGATTTTAAAACAGGGTTCAGAAAGAGAGAAAAGCAGCGGGGTG